CATGCCAATTTACTTCGTGAACTCGGCAACCAGGTTGCCGTTTTTTTTTTCCCTCTGTTTTTTTTGCTTTTGCGGTAACCATAATGGTGGTCGAGTAGATCATGTTGGGCGGGGTCGAGAACCCTCACTCCGCGCAAGGGGGATGATCGCACCACGTTATCTTAAAATGGTCAAGCACCCTCGAGGCAGTTGCACAGTGCTTACAACTGTCTCTGGAAGTGAAAGCACCAGAAAGTAAATTAAGTCATACGCAGCTGNACGACTACGGCATGCACGACTATGAGTACACCCCCCCCCTGGATCGATTTTTACAGCTCTACGAAGAAGAGGATACGTATTATTCGAGCTATTGATTTTTCGGAGACGAGACGGTTCAGACGCCTCTGTTTATCAGCAACGCCACTCTTTCTGCTGGGGAGAAATCGAGCTTTTGAAAACCACCCCATGTCGTCTGGTATCTTGTGCCACTTTCGGCATTATCTCATGGGGGAGCCTTGGTTTTGCTCACTGTTGGAGAGGAACAGAAGGCGTCGGGGGGTGAAGTCATCTGGAATGTGCGGTGAAATGTCTTGAATGGAAAATGCCTCCCACGGTGTTGTGGGTAGTGTGGAAACGGTTCCATGCCGATCAGTACCGAACCATGGCATGCGACACAAGACGCCCGCTGATATCTAACTATTAGGCTTCCAAAATATTTTGACTAGGTGTGCTTAGTGTTTGTTGCGTGTGTGGCTTATCTCGTGTCGCCCGTTGCTTCAACTGAGAACAGGACCATATTTCGGGCTCATGTTTTTGTTTTGCTCGTCTTGACCCAATATCTTTTGAGTACCGGTTGTCGTACTCGTGGGTGCGTGTGCGTGTGCTACCATACGTGGCGTACGTTACCCTACAAACAAACCAATCAGCGCTTGGTGTCACAGTTTGTTTCGAGACTTGAGTGTGCAGGCTACGCTTGTCTTTTGCCCGTGTTGGCGACACCACGAGACGGGAGTGCGTGTCCCCTGTCCCCGATGTTTGGTGCTTTCTCTGTCACCCTGCGGTCTACGTGGGCTTGCTTGTATTTTTCCACAGCCACCGACTCCGACGCGTGAACGTTTTTCGTGCCTGAATCCAGGACCTTGACTTGTAGCGTTGTGCGAGGTCTCGGCGTCACGAAGACCGAAGAGGGAAGTGATAGTATTGCCGTGGCAACAGCACATAGACTACCACCGTCCTTGGTTTCGGAAGCGCGACAAGCTTCATATGCTCACTCACCCGCCACCCGCACCAACCTTCCTTTGTTTGCGTTTTCGGGCACACGTTTCAAGGTGTTCTCTGCCCGCTGCGGCATCACCCATGCCTTTCGGCCTCGCTACAGGTATGTAGTCTACAGCCGCAGCTGATACCCCCCCTTCCCCAAACCGGCTGAATCCCCAGGCGAAGCTTCATGCCTACAACGCTGTGCTGCTCAGGGTGAAGAGTCTTCACGCCTGGAGCGACCCTGGACGGACGAAAGTCTGGGCGGCCGCTGTCTCGCTTCTCGCGGCCGTGCTGGCGATCGTACCAGCGAGGTACGTGCGCTTCATTCTGACGTTGGGGCTGTTATTAGCTGAAGCGGAGCATGCAGGAAGAAAGGTGTCGAAATTCTGTAGCACGAAGTTCGATGATCATGGCCGCGGTATTCTAGACACCTCCTGGTGTTGATATTATTTTTTTGTTTTGCGCGTTTCGGCGCGATTGTGGTGCTCCGTCGTTGCATTTTCTTCCTCGCCTCCATCATTTTCATTCCCGGAGCCCTATACTCAATGTACTTGTTTGGTCAGTTGCCTGACGTTACCTTCGTGCGGCTCGGTGCTTGAAGAGAGATTTGAGACACTGATGCCATGTATCACTCCAGCAGCGACGCCTATTCGACCGCCCCCCCCCAGGTATACGTTTGCGGCGTTGGTGTTGTTCCTCTTCACGGAGCCTATCCGTCCCGAGACAAAGAATATCGCCGAGCTTCTGCTGGAAGACTTTTGGGAAGGCTTGCCTGTCGAGTCCGGGACGCACACAAACGTGCGCATGGCGGCGATCTATAGCCGGCATGACTCAAGATGGATGGACTGATTCGGTCCGTTTGTACTGGGGGGGCTGTGTGTGCCTACATTCGCTGTTTGTTTTCGTCGCCAATTTTCCGGGTTGGTTGCCGAAGTCATTGGGTTGGTTTCGGATCTAGGGCAACCAGAGCCTCCTGCATATGTTGTACATGCGACAAACGATATAACAGAATATGAACATCTCAGACTTCTGTTTGTAAACTTGACGGGGTTTTCGTTTGCCGGAATATTATTTTGCTGCGGCACTCCGAGTGAGTGAAGGGGGCCCCGTAGATTCTCGATGACATATCGTATCGCAGAGTCTCAGGCTGGACAGAAACATACGTCGCGGCGAGGGCGTGCATGGAGCACGGCTCGCGGGATCAGATCAGGACGGTTTGTTGTACATTCGGATGGTTGTCCTTAATGCCTGAGGTCGGGGCTGTCGCTGTCGTTACCGCAGGCATAGCCCGTGTTTGTTGACGATTTTCGCCCCCGAGTGCGGCATCGGTGGCGTTGGCTGCCTTTTTCGATCTTGGCGTCTGCTGTAGACGAGGGCACAAAACTGCTGCTGTGTACCTTCGTGGCCTTGCCGTGGTCACCAAGCGCTTGTTGTACCGCCTCCTGGGAGCTCTCCCAGCGTACTCGCTCGTAGTTTGCTCGCTGTTCTACGCAGAAACCGGTGCTCTCGAGCACTTTTCCTTTTCGTATTAAGTATTTGTTTGTTCCATACCGCTTCTCTTGCTGTTGTTGTGAGCATTGGCAGCAAACGCTTACATGGGTTGGTTCCTTGGTTGCTTCATTCGGTTTTGAATACACCGGCCCCGATCGACGTAATTATTCGTCGCTTTTCCTGCGCTAGAACGATCTCGCTCATCATGTGGTCGTTAGTTTAGTCTTTGACCTTCTTGCGAGCCTTGCTCGGGATGAGGAAAACGTCCGAGACTGAGCATACCCGGTGCACCCGTCGTGGCTTGCGGAGTCCGTCCCCTCTCGTTGTATTGGGAAGCTTGTTCGACCCTCTTGTTGTTGCTGTGGTTGTTATGGTTGTGGGTGGCGATGTTAATATTGCGTGAGACCATGTAACAGTTGCTGAACAACTCATATTGAGTGCGCGAAATACACATTGTTACTGGATATCAGCGCCGCTCGTCAATATTTGACTACAGCCGTAGCTGATCTTCGGGCTTTCGGCGACAACATCAACACTGAGTCCAGCGTGAAATATCAACACGGGCAGGGTTGACTGATTTTGCAGAAACTCAAGAGCACCAACAATTCACACGAGACACGCAAGATCAGTCGGAAGGCATCTGCAAAAACAGATCCCGTTGACTCTTACGCAGGGTGGCAGCAGGGGCTGCTCTAAACACACATACCATGCAGCCTACCATCACGACCCTTTGAAATCAAGTCAAATCAGCCATAACGGCAGGCGCTCGGGTAAGGTTGGGTTTGAGTTGTATATCTCACTGTGAAGACAACATCGAGAGAAGCAATGGATCGAATCCAATGCCCGGGTGGTGAAAAAGGTGTTCACTTCATGCCGGGCACTGGACCATGGGCAGATACTGTTCCGCAGGAAATCACACGATGCCATGTCATCGATCATTCCACGACGATACAGTGGCCAAGAAATTTGCGAGTCTACGTCCACAGCGCGATATCCGACTCTGTCTGGTGCATTGGGACAGTAATCTTGGCTTCATCACACGATGTTTGAACTGAGACGACGAATGATAACCGCGCGAGCGGAACAACACACAAAATTTTTCAACATGCGTTCACTATGGCATCAACGGTGGGCGAATGAACAAAGGAATGTGGACCCTGTTATCTGCCACAAATGCCTTCAGTGTCTGAGCGAGGCGGCCGAGAGCATCCGCTAACAACGTAGAGGCTGTATCGGGAGTGCTGAATATGAGGTCTGGTGCACTTGATTCATTGCACTTCATCCTACATCCTGCAGTATGTTGCAGCTGCTGAAACCACCTCTGTCGAGTGTGCCGCCGGCATTTCCCCCCTCGCTCCATCTGCATCGACAAACGACACCGAGCAATTGCTGGCCGATGAAAGCAGGGCACGCCTCCCCTGTGAGCATATTGTCATGGGCCATCTGTAGTGTGGTACAACAACGCCGTCCGTCTGCTTGACGCTCCCCTCACATTGACTTTACGTGACTTTACGCGTGCGAGCCCTACATTGATTTGTCATTGGATGGAACACCCACCCAACCTGTTTATATCACTCTTTCGTGAAGTCTAGAGCATCTTATTTCCCCTCCAAAAATTACGGCTGACCTTTGATATATCACTCAGGGCTTGCTTGTGTCTTCGACGTGTAGATAGAACATGTCACGAAACCCCGGGATTTCACATCTCGCTCACAACATGGCTACTTGGCGCTTCGGCCGGAAACAAGAATCGTATACACCTCATGCGCCATTGCTGTAGGTTTGGGTCCGAATACCTCCGGACCAGACGCGCCATTTAGAAATGAACCGCGATCCTCCATGTTGAGCCAACAATATGGGCCCCCTCTCGTGTCCAAACCTAAGGGCAAGAAGGGTAAGAAACGTGAAAATACCCTCCCTGTGTGACCCGGGCTGGTGCGTCAGGGGCAAGATGGTTTGCACCTAAGAGTAGATTATGTGGTAGACTTCTACAGTACATTAGAGTAGATGGTACAAACCACCCTCTAATTAAGCCGCGGTTTACCCCAAGTGTATATATATAGCCTATCCAATGCTTGCTGTTTGTTGGTATTCTTGTTGATTTTGCATTTATTTACTAATACTCGCCGATTGCAATAAATAGTCATCCCAACACACAAAAAAAGACACTTGTACGAAAATAAATAGTGTGACCCGGAAAAATGGGTCGCCCTTGAGCAACGATATTTTACATGTAGTTCGATGTGACACACATTAACCTCAAGAAGGAGTTATCCCGCACCCCCGTGGTAATATAGTCGTCGTGCGGTAGTTTCAAACGAAAGGGTACGGGTGAGGAACGAGGTGCAAGGCGCCACCGCATGTATGTGTAGACTATTATTATTATTTTGTTTGCCCTCCGATAATTGCAGATAAATGCAGACATACATAAAAAATCGATCGTAAAGGCCGTCACGCCAAGCCAAATTAACTCGATGCCCAATAGCTAGGAATGTTTGTCTCTAAGTCAACAAACTTTGGTCGAAACACTACAGCTGAACTCTAGGCACGAACCTTAGATGGAGAAAAACGAACAAAACCCCAACCTTATCCACCCGAAATCAAACAAAAGTCGGCCCTGTCTTCCCTGGTACCCCTGACACCGTATTGAACAGAAATCCGCTTTCCACCGAAGTGGCTGAGTCCAAGCTGTCGCACGCACATTTCGGCGCGCAAAAGTCTGTGCGGACTATACTCTTTTGATACGAGAGAAGAAATGACCACCATCGGGATATTATTATTATTGTCAATCGTTCCGATAGCTCGGTCCATTATTCACACGCAGCACATCACATGTACCAAATATATGTAGTAAGACCGATCTCTATTGACACATTGCAAACTCAGCGTCCTGGTATAAAGTGTAATTCCGGCTGGTTACACGTCCTCATGATTTCATGAGGATAGAGCCAAATATCTGAACGGTTTGCATATTTGCATACTCCCGGTCCTGGTGTCCATACAAAAAGTATCACGTGTCCGGCCGCGCGCCACGAATTTTCGACTGTTCATACAACAACAATCCCGCACCCTGCGGCCCGCTCCTACACAACTAGATACCAGCTACCAGCTTAGAGTAAACCGGCCAATTAACGAACGCTTAAGCCACCCCTCGCGCCAACAGCTCGTTCTCGGGCATGAAGAGGAGTATGATGTATTTGTGGGTACCGGACGATAGCTTGTATTATAGGCTACCTCCCTAAAAAAAAAAAAAAAATCGTTCGTGTCAACGAGATAGAGCTGATGCAGTGCATTCCATTGTTTAGCTGAAAATGCAGGAAAAACCCCCCCCCCCAATTAACGAACACTTTAGCTTTGTAGCTGCTTTCGTGCGTTCTGAAGCGTTTCATGATCTGATTTTTTGTGGAGATACGTCTGTCGCAACATATATCCGTTTAGGAAAAAAAAAAATGGAATCGATCCACGCCCGGGGACAAAATCCTCACATCCCCGGGTTTTCCGCCTGAAATCGGGGACGGATTTTACCCCATTTTTGACCGTACGGCGGTGCTGCACACATGAAAAGAGCCAAAACTAAGAGATTATTGCACAGTGGGTCTAATCTGATCATATACAGACTCAAGAAAAAAAAATTAGGACGAAAAACTTCGCGCATGTGATGTAATGCCCGTTCAAACAGGCACCCCTTGACCCGGCCGCTACCGCTATAATTCTCCGCAAGAACCCCAAGGCCATTTCCCTTTTTTCACAGTCATCTTACATTCCCACAAGACGCCCTTTGGTGTGTAGGTTTGTTTTATCACAAGAAACGCTGTTGAAAAAAAAAAAAAAATCATGCATGCCCGGGGACAAAATTACCATATCCCCGGGTTTCCCGGTATCAACCCCCCCGCCCCCCCCGCGCTGCTGGGGTGCACCCTAACCATCTCCACATGCCCCCACAAACCACCTAATCTTCTGCTTTACTCGTATAGTCTAATTCATCCACCGCCTAGACAATAGTAGCCCAGAAAAACAACAACAACCGCAAAGCATCTGCCCTGGTCTAAACATCAACGATTGGTGTCGGGATCCGCTGCCGTCCTCGGGAAGAAATGGGAGCCGCCGACGGCGGCGGGTGAACCAAGGGAACCGCCGCCCCTCTCGGCCGTCCCGCTCCTCCTTGGACGGGAGCACCTCTCCCCTCGTCCCCCCCCCGCCCTCCCGCCCCCATTTGCTCTCCACGAGCACCAGTGGTGCGGTCCTGGCCACCCTGTCCTCTGCCACGCCCCTCTCGCCCACCGCCACCGCGCCCCCTGATCGCCGTCCGCGTCCCGCTTAGCTCAACCCTCACGCTCCTCTCTCCCCGCCCTCCGTCCTGTTCCCCGCCCCGTCCTTCGCCACGCCCCCCGCTCCGCCCTCCACCTCTCCCACCCTCGCGCCCTCCACCTCTCCCCCCCTCTCGCCCGCCGCCCCGCCCGCCGCCCCGCCCGCCGCCCCGCCCGCCGCCCTGCCCGCCGCCCCGCCCACCAACTGCTCCAGATTGTTGGTTGGCCTCCTTCGTTGCCCTTGCCTCCGCGCGTGCCGCCTTTGCTTCCTCAGCTGCCTGCTTCGCTTCTTGGTCCTTCTTGGCCTGAGCAAGATGTTCTTCGGCGGACAGCAGACCACCTTCGGGCTTCCCCCCCCCCGCCCGAACGGTCGCGAAAGCCTTGGTGCGCTTGGTGAGGCGGGTGAGCCCGCCAAGGAACACGGTGTTGACACGGAGCCCCTCGATCATCAGCCCGTGTCTTTTCAGCTCCAGGAGGGCAGCGCGGCCGAGGTCTCGCTCGAGTTGATCCTTAGAGGCAACCACGGCGAGGTCTTCACGAATAGGGCGGTCATGGTCCCGTTGCTTCCTCTTGCTGTGTAGTCTGTTGATAGCTTTCTCCATGCTCACCGGCCACAAGCCCGACCCTTTGAACGCCGCCTTGTTGTTCTCAGGCGTGAAGCTCCCTGCCCATGCCTCCGCAATCACGCCAGCCATGTCGCGCTTCACCGGACTCCTCCCCCCGTTCTTTAGCGGGTAGGCCGTGAGCACCTTGGTGATCTCCATCTTGAAGGTTCCGAACGTACCGACGTCCAAGGGCTGGGTGATGTGCGATGTGTGGGATGGAAGCTGGAATAGGTCCATGTCCAGGGAGATGCCCAAGCTGATGGCGTCGAAGGTCGTGTGTGAGGCGTGGCCGTCGAGCACAAGGGCAGCTTTGCCCAGCAAGCCGCGCGCATCGAGCTGCTTGCGGAGGTCTCGAAGCTAGTCCAGGAAGACGTGGCTCTGGATGAAGGATGACTCCGTGACGGTGTACTTCGCATCGGGGACGCCGTTGTTGTCCTGGATCCAAGCGGGTTGCATACGCTGGCCTTTGAAGATGATGGTAGGGTGGAACGTGTGGCCGTCGGCACCGATGGTGGCGACCACCGTCGTATTTTCTCGCGAATTGGAACGCCTCGCGCCGGGTACCTTGGTGCCTCTTGCGACGATTGCCTTCCCCGACTTTGTACCTTGAGGGGTCGAACCTACAACACGCGCGCATCGGGGGTAAAGACAGTTGAACAATCAGTAAACTAGACACACAAAAAACGCGCGTACAAACACACATGGGTGCTGCTCGCTCCGGGTGGTGGCACACAGCAGTGGTGAAGGCCATTTTTTGTGCGGCAAGTGTCGGATTCGTTTAAACTTTGGGTGCGAAACAATAACCCCACACCCATGGCAGTTTGCATTGAGCTCCAAACGTAGGTGGGTTTACAAAAACAAAGCGTTCTACTGAAGTCTCGACGTGACTAGACTAGTCTGCACTTCGCGCGTCGTTCAGCAACACACATGCATTTTGCAGACCAAGAACACACGCCCGCTGTTGCCGGTAGCATCACAACAGAAAACGATGTACACATGCAATCATGCGGCAGAGTGCAACTGAGATGACCACAGGGACTGTTACATGCTAACCTCAGCCGACTCCAGCAGCAAACATGCGGGCGTGTTGTGTGCTACGCGCATGACAAGCAGCAACGGCTCGGAAGATATGCGGGACAACTGCTGGATCTTTTTTTTTTGCAGCAGCAGAACTCCGCGTTGTTGTGACACATCGCAGTGCTGCTGGTACTTCGCCTACGAACCCACAGCAGTCGATACTGACACCGCTGACACCCAATGACACCTACTGACACCTCAACCCTTGCCCTAACTCACTTGTCTCATCCGTGTTGAGGATGCGTTCCGGCGGGAGCTTGGTCTCCTCCAGGTACTCCGCCCATGCTTTGTAGAAAGCTTGAAGGCGAGGCTCGCCGTCTTCGTTAATCCGGTTTGCTTCGTAGATGTGGGTGGCTCGCTCCGACAAACCCGGGTGTCTCGCCATAAACCCCTCAAGCCAGCTGTCCCCAGGGCCCTTGTCTGGGTCCCAGGGCACCTTGCGCCCGTCGGTGCAGATGTTGCGCACAGCGTCTCTCAGCTCCCTCCGACCCAACAGCAAGAAGTGTCGGGAGGCGTAGATCAAGACGTCTTCTACGAAATCTTCCTCCTCCTTGCTCAGGACAGTCCCGGGACCAACCCTCGCATCTATGGCCACCTTGTTCTTCACACGGTCGTGCAGCGAGGCTAGCGGTAACCCGTAGGTCCTCGCAGCAACGCGGAGCGACATCTCACCGCTGCGTACCGCATCTACAGCCTTCTGGGCCTGCTCTGGGTCTACTCTCTTACGTCCCATGCTTAGCAGCAGGACCCCGAAAAGGGCAAAGATGCCCCACATAAGGGGTGTGGGTGAGGGCTGTGCTGTATCTCGGGAGTGCTTGACCCGATCGACACGCGGAGGTGCTCAAACGAAAGCTAACGGAAAGCTGAAGATTTCAAAAAAAAAATTGGGGGGCTCCGCGCATTGTGCGCCGAGGGACGTGCATTTGAAAAAAGTGTCCGTTAAAGGGAGGGTGTTCGTTAATACCCTGGTTTACTCTAAGGCAGTACACACACACGATGTCCGAAAAGGAGGGGTTTACTGAGCAGCAGCGCCAGCTGCACGCTCAGGCCGCAGCATGGTTGCAAGAGAGAACGTGATGGAGTTGATGAATCAGTTGGAGGAAGCTGAGGAGGAGATGGGCCGTCTGGGTGATGATGATGAAGCGGCGTATGCGGTGTCAAAACAGATGGGGGCCTTGGCGCAGCAGGCAGAGGCTGGCCTCCAGGAGATCCTTACGATTGCGCAGTCGGCGCCTGAGAGTCCAGGCGAGAGAGCCTTCCGTCACACGCAGCTTGTGTCTGTGAATAAGCTCAGGAGGTTTCTACCCACGGTATGGAAGGGGATGAGCGAAGCAAAAGACGCAGCTTCTAACAACAGACGACAGATGGTCCATGCCGAGGGGGTGTACCACTACCTCTGTACTCGACCCTGGCATGGGGGTATCTGCTCGTTCAGGCAGTACACAGGCTTTGACAAGGAGGAGTTCGACCAATTCAATGTTGTTGTTCATGATGGTGGTTGGTTTTGATGAGTTGGTAGTTGACGAGTGACACACGGCTGTTCAGTGATGTTGGCTGAGATTCCGCCGCATTTTTTTAGGGTAGGGGACAGGACAATCCAAAAATGAGAAAGCCTCAAGAACCTCCATGAAACCATAGAGAAAATCAACCGGGGTGAGACACCATCCACGCGGAGGTCAACAGCTCGGTGCGCTGAGTTTAAGCAGAGGTGGTGGACTTCGCATCTGCTGCTGATAGGTGAGTAGGAGAGTTGTGGCCTGGGTTTTTGGCGATATTGGGCCTTGGCAACTAAGTCTCGGCGGTGCAAAAAGTGCCTGCAGCATGCACTGAAATTGGGCCTATATTGCCTAGATCCGCCGCACTGACTGGCCCATGACTCGGCTGACTGCTGGCTGCTGGTGTAACTTATCTCCCCTCCCCCCCCCTCGCTCTCTTCGCCATATGCGTACACACGACTATCCCTCGCACTGCACCCGTGCAGATATGCTTTGCCTCAGCTTTGTAAAAGCTTGGCCACGTGCTGAGAAAACCAGACCCCCTCCCAGCGACTTGCTGCTCCAACTTGTACCGTAGGTTGCATGCATTTACACGCCCTGGTCCGATCTTCAAAGCTCGATTGCAAAGACAGGAAAAGCAGCGACGGTGCCGAAAACGTCGGCGTTGGAACTGTCTCGTCAACAGCTTTCCGACAACATATCCATTTCAGCATTCTCTTTAGTCGAGGATTAGTGAAGCTTTGAAAAACGTCTTACGGGTGTGGTATCTTACGCAACCTACGGTGTCTTGAGAGAGAGAGAGAGAGGGCCGTGGGAGGGCGACACCTTCCTCAACAGCAGTCCTTCAGACCGGAGACACTGCGGAAAGATGTTTCGGGGACTCGGGATGC